CACCATCATATTCCCAGTACAAATGCCAAACCAGTCACTTTTTTTCATTGGCAAATCCCATGAAATCCCTTGTCAAACGATGGCGCTTGTCCAATTGATCCCTTGATTTGAATGAAAAACACACCTCCGGCGGCACACTGTTGAAGAAATACCCTGCATCATCAATACGACACTGATCATTGAAGCAGATATCCCACTACAATCCACACCTCCCAGCAAAACTCATTAAAACGCCACCAGCTGTTTCAGATATCCAATACAATTTACCCGCACCCCACTTACATTCCACGCAATCCGATACAATCACATCAAACTCCAACACAGTACGCGAGAATTTCCGGCCAGAAATACTATCAAAATCCATGACTGCCCATGCCCATGTTTGTCCATGAGTTCGGCTTCCAGGCCTGCCACTGCGCCCCACCGCGGTGAAGCTGGTCAATTGAAAGCTGTTGCCTGAGAATGGATACGCACGTTCTTGGGAATATTCAATTCATTGTCTACGAAGTACAGAGCACAGAGGAGAATATAGACATATGATCCGATGCTGAGTCATTAGTTATTTAAGTTAGTAAAACAACCTAAACCCAAAGGATAACGGAAAAAGAGACCCCGACCACTTCTGGGGAAACCAGACATTGCCATCCCACTCGATGGCACCTGGTCCTCCGCTTGAATTCGTACCTCACAAGTATATTTCTATATCGCATTATTTTGGACAACGACCCATATTATAACACTATGGTAGCAATAAAAGTGTTCCATGATAATTAATTCTATCGAAATAATTGTGACACCATGCAATAGTCATACACCATTTCACGCATATGTATATACATATATATATAGACATATGTATATATTCGTATATATAATATATACATATATATATTCATATCATAATGATATGATAGTTATGTGACTATATCATGTCATATTTCAAATCGATTATATACATATGATCGACCAGGCCTTGGGGATCACCACCACACCTCAAAGCGTTGGACGATTTTCGCCCACGGGGGCGTGAAGCCAGGCCCAGTTCTCTGGACGTTTTCCCCATGAACACATGATAAACATGTGGCATATAGGCATCATTACTGGGGATAATACAAACTATGGCTATTTTTCAATATCATTTTCCGGGAAATGTCGTATTTGCAGCATCTCCTGTTTTTAAACTGCTATCATTACTATCTGTATTGTTAGGATGGTGAAAAAATGAATTGAACTCAAGTCTGCTTTGTTCATGGCTGAAAACCAGACAACTCGGAGGGACAGCAGGGGGTGACATCGACAGTCTGTGAGGAGTCAAAGATTTTCGGCCCTACGTGTAGGAATTCCCAGTATATCTGCTGCGTTTTCCATGTCATAAAAATCGCGACTACAAGAATAATCTGAACAAATTATAGTAGCTCACTCACCTGGAATAATAAGCATAATTTTGGGGTGATTTCTCTCAATCATTCACTACAGAGTTTGGTCGCGACCTGAGGTCGTTATAATTTGCCCATCCTCTTTGAAATTAGATGGGAGGGGTTGGGCGATCCCCTTTTTGTAAGAAAAACATTGAAACACCTACAAAAAGCCATAAAATAGAGGAAAATCTTTACAAAAAGCATTTTGTGAAATCTTTGCTGAAAATTGGCATTCTTGAAATTCCCCAGTAAAATCTTTACAAAAAGCATTTTGTGAAATCTTTGGTGAAAATTGGCATTCTTGAAATTCCCCAGTAAAATCTTTACAAAAAGCATTTTGTGAAATCTTTGGTGAAAATTGGCATTCTTGAAATTCCCCAGTAAAATCTTTACAAAAAGCATTTTGTGAAATCTTTGCTGAAATTGGCATTCTTGAAATTCCCCAGTAAAATCTTTACAAAAAGCATTTTGTGAAATCTTTGCTGAAATTTGGCATTCTTGAAATTCCCCAGTAAAATCTTTACAAAAAGCATTTTGTGAAATCTTTGCTGAAAATGGCATTCTTGAAATTCCACAGTAAAATCTTTACAAAAAGCATTTTGTGAAATCTTTGCTGAAATTGGCATTCTTGAAATTCCCCAGTAAAATCTTTACAAAAAGCATTTTGTGAAATCTTTGGTGAAAATTGGCATTCTTGAAATTCCCCAGTAAAATCTTTACAAAAAGCATTTTGTGAAATCTTTGGTGAAAATTGGCATTCTTGAAATTCCCCAGTAAAATCTTTACAAAAAGCATTTTGTGATTTTTTTGCTGAAAATGGACATTCTTGAAATTCCCCAGTAAAATCTTTACAAAAAGCATTTTGTGAAATCTTTGCTGCAAATGAACATTCTTGAAATTCCCCAGTAAAATCTTTACAAAAAGCATTTTGTGAAATCTTTGCTGAAAATGGACATTCTTGAAATTCCCCAGTAAAATCTTTACAAAAAGCATTTTGTGAAATCTTTGCTGAAAATTAACGTTCTTGAAATTCCCCAGGAAATGCTACCTCAGAACATGGGTCTCTTACAAAATGCTCGTTTTGTAAGTAGCTTAAGGTCTCCCTTTTTGTAAGGGAAATTTCAACCAGGATATTTGCCCAGAAAAATATCATTCTTCGGTCATCGGCATGTCATTGATCACCCAGTACCTTGGGCCTACATAGGTGCTTTAAGATGTTGCCCACGAAATTGACATCAGCTTGACATCTTGAAAAACACATCTATGGTCATCTATGCCATAGATATCCATAAAATTCCAATTCCATAGATATCCCAGGTTTTTTTTGCCCAAAAAAAGTCTCAGAAGAGCCGTCCATACTTGGGGAACCAGGGAACCCCCGATTTTCCGACAGCACTTCAGCTCCCAACCAACGGATTCCCCGAGCATGGAGTGTGGACCTAGGGATTCGCCACGGCAGAACGTCTTACAATGTTGAGATATTTCATGATATTTCAACATTATTATCAGTATCCCAGTTTTCTGCAATACGACAATACCATGCAATACCCATATCTTTGGTCTGTACTACATATGTGTGTCTCAGAATGGTCGTAATTGCAATTCGAAAAAATACACGAAACTGAATCGTTTCCATACATGGAGGTCCCCTAAATCATCCCATCCATTGCAATAAGATTTTCCCTTATAAACCATCCATTTTGAGGTACCGCCATTCATGAAAAACCCCCTGAATCGTTTCGCCGGATAAGCGGGGGTCGAAAAACTTGGAGTCTGACAAGAGAAGCACAACACGTCCTGGACATCGGCGTGCCTCCCGATCCTTGGTTTGACATGGGAAACAAAATTGTGGTTACCTTCCGGTGGTCAAACATGGCGTGCTAGACAATGTACCATTTAGAAATCTAATTTTCGTATTAAAACCATTTAAAACCTCCATTCAGCGCGGGGATTTTCTAGCCGGCCGCGTTTGATTACCAGAGGGTAGCTGGAAAATCCACCATGAACATAGATATTTTTTTCCATTCCCTATGGATCCAACCACTGCCTGAGACGGTACTTGGATCCCGACAAATCGAGACTTCCTTTTGAGAAGGATTTTTTCCATTGCCACGTTGGAGGTATCTCAACATTGCACGCTAGTAAAAAATCAAGACATTTCAACACAGTAATGAAACACAAGAAACCATAAGGTCTTTAAAATCCATGCAATCAGGATATCATCAATGTCACAAAATATCACCATCACCCATCATGTCTTAACCCATTGTGGTAGCCGCCTATTTTAACCCATCAAAAATATATGGTGCTGGCCATGTCGGGTTTCCCTTCAACACTGCCTTGCCTTGCCGCCGACTGGGTTCACGGACCGAAGACTTGGGGTTTCCACCACCCTCCAACCTGCGAGTTCCGCTGGTGTAGTATGGTGATCCCCCCCAGTAACTCGCTTACAAATGTGTGTACATCTATATATATATATATATAACGTATACAAAAAGGTACATTTATAATATATACATGACATATAGATGGTGTCTGACATACGTAAATCTGCCCTTACATCCCCTTATGAACTACAAGCATAAGCTGTGTCTGACAATAGACTTCAATCAGTGGAATCCAAACGTGCGAATAAGGCTGCTTATTCGCACCCTTGCCATCCTGCATCATTGCATCAATTACCCGCCTTACCAAGGTAATAAAAAAAATGAACTACCATACTTTTTGTTCCCATGATTTCTTAATGTTTTGTGGCAGCTTACCATTTCCCGGGCTCCACAATCCATTCCCCAAGGACCACGCTAACCTGGATCTCGTCAAAGTGGGTCAAAGAGCTGCTACCAATGCAATAACCTTGATGCGGTGAACGCTGGAAAAAAATGTCTTTGCAAATATGTGGATCACCTTTTGTGATGTTCAAAGACTCAAGAATAGATGGACCCACTTTCCTTGTAAGCTAGACACTAACAGGTCCAACAAGCTGCAGGCACATTCGGTCACCCTTTCTGTAAATGCCGACAGGCCTAATTTTCATCCATGCTTGCATCTGCACAAAAGAGTCTCAGCCCTCGCTCTTGCCATGCCGACTTCCAAACAAGGCCATTTTGCTGGACCTATGTTCTAGGATCGCTCAGTAGGAATCCTGGGATTGAAACGCCTCACTGATGATATCCAAGTCATGTGACACGGACTGCCCCATGTAATGAACGAAATGCACTTCGGAAATGCCATGAGATTTTTTTGGATATCTGATGTCTGGGTGGTTTAGAGATCGACAAGGAACCAAATGGGCTCATGATGGGTCATGGCAATTTCGAAAAGGGCCTCGGATCAAAGGTTTCCGCACTATTGTGCTGGACCACAGTTTTGGCAATGAATCTTTACACTGCACACCGCAACTGGACATGTCTGTGCCATCCAGTGCCACGGATGCCTTTGCCAGAACTTGAGTACCACTGGCCACTGATATGTCGGCTTCTGACAACCAAATTGTTATGCAGAGATTAATTCTTAGATCATTGACGGTTCCCTTCCATTCTCAAGTCTTGCCGTGGCACTTCTCAATTTGTGGCCGTCGTCCCATCAAGCAACACTCAGACAATGGAACTTCGGCTTCTGGCTCAGGCTGCGACCTCCAAATAAGAAACTGTCTTCGTCGTAGGCCCAAAATGCACCACCTTCTTCAGATTCGCCCAAAGGAGCCCGGGCAAGTGCCGACACGATAGTCAGGACGCGCCCTTCACAGATGGATGCCGAAGTTGCCGTGGGGCCGTGGATAGTCAAAGGGATCCCATTCTGGTGACAGTCAACAAGGATGAAACGCACCAAAGAATCTCCCTTTCGGGACTGCACCACATCTTCAATGTTGTACATCCTTCCTTGCAAACTCGCCTGCACTCCCTCTTCGATCTTCTCATCTTTCACCATGCTTCGGAAATCCGATACCACCCATGCAGGATTTGGGTAAATTTTCAATGGACTGCACGACCCCACAGCCACCGAACTGTCCCTTGAACTCTGCACCTTGCACAACACCTTCGGAAACGTGGTGATGACAACCTTCTGCATCTTCTTGCAGATCACATCCGGGAACTGCCCATCTGGCGATGCTTCATAGGCCTTCATCAATGAGGTGAAAACCTTCTCTGCCACAGGTGTCCACAAAGCCACCTGCACCAAAAGATCCGTGCTCCCCACCACCAATCCTAGACATTTCCGATCTGGATTCTTCGGCGTTGGCCTCTCCTTCAACTCCCCAATCTGGACCAACTTGGCAGTGAAGCAAACCGTCGCTTTATCACCGACCGCGTAGATCTCTCCCAGGTTCTGCAAGTCAACTGCCATGCCACCAACTGCCGACATAGCCGACCCAGAAGTCCTGGCACTAGGCACCATCACACCAATAATACTCATGACACAGAACCAACTAAATTGCTTCATGCCTTTTTCTACAATAAGCTTTCACCAAACGCCAGAAACCTGTGATTTTTGACATGGCAATGCATAATGTGATTCGAGAACAATAGATCAATTATCCTTTTGTGCCAACAAATGGTGATAGATAGGCAGGACAAAATGCAGCAACCAACCTTATGCAAGTCAAAGCACCACCTTGTACGATCACAAACTACAAAACGGCTCTTCGAGGAATGCCGTAATTGATCATCCGAGCACTGATCATCCGAACAGCATGACAAAGAAAAAAAATCGATGCCTGTAGACCAGTGACCCTCTAGCAAGCAATCCGAGCCCCTGGACTGTCCTGCGTCTCTTCTGCTGCGAACCACTGAGATCCATCTCCTCCACGTCATTCTCTTGGCCTGCCCACAACATCTCGTACATTCCACACTACCAACACCATTCCCCCCATACCAAACCAAGACATCTCACATAAGAATATGCTCTTTTGTCCACCCCCCGCCTTCTCCTGCCTTCGGATCCTGACCCTGACCATCGACCTGATGCACCCGTGGCTGTTGATTACGTCCATCCCCACGGCCACTGCCTTGCTCATTCATTTCCTCATCTGAGACTGATGTCACATCCTCCACTTCTCCCATCACAACGCAAGCAGCTCCCGGCTGGAAAGTTGGACAATCACAGACCACGATGGACTCCCGAGAAAACGCAATGGGCAAATGGCGGGATTACAAGCCAGGATGAAAGACTTGGAGATCGCTAGCTGGGACTTGAACTCTAACTGCAAGAAATATTGGATTTGGATTTAAGATCCAATTAATTTTGATCGTTGCTGCCAGGAAATCTACACATGTTTCCTATCATCCAACGCTGGAAGCTACTACGTTCCTACCTCGAGATGGAAACCATCAGGAACCAACCAAGATTCATTGTAATGCCCCAAACATTCAGATATGCTTCGAGGTCAGGAACCCAAACGATTCTCTAAAAGTTTTGCCTTGGCAAAATGTACATACGTGACGTTCTTCTACTGGCCTCTCTCCAAGTCAAATACCGGGCAGCTCAGTGACCACCTACACCATACTTTGGCTGCATGTTATGGAATCTCCAGGATATAAACCAATGCCAGCGAGCCAATTGATAAGCTTACCCACACAATATTTCAAGGAGATTTCAGATGTGTCATACACTCTGGTAAACTAACAGAGCTACCGGAGAAACGATTTCCATACCCATGTTCAATGCTTATGCCAAATTACCCAAGACGAGCATACCATTTTCTGAGCTTCTGGCTGAGCGCTATTCTTGACGTCTTCCATCTGTTTCTTGCTTCCTGGCAGTGGTCGCCAAGCTCCCGTTCGGAGACATTCATCTGGATGACTGACTACCCTATGCATAGACAATGGAAGATACGGATATGGAGACAAGTGACTTGACCATCGAAATATGAATTTAATCAGAAAAAGGATATCACCACCAAAAATATGCTAGTTTTTGGTGGGATACTAGCATCATTGAGATGAAATGTGATGGGAATTAGATCTCTCTGGCAAAAGAACTCCCAACACTACAAGAACCCACAAAATATTATCGTTATGTTCCAAATTGCAATGGCCATCTTGCCGGTAGACCATGATATACACCACGTTAAGAAATACCTAACGTCAGCAATATGACACTGATCATTGCAGCGGTTATCCCATTACAAGCCCGAAACTCCCATTATATATCCCAACACGACTTTAATGGAATTTAATGGGAATCGATTGACTGTAATGGGAGACACAATCAACACAACATTGTTCCTGGAACCTTCAATGGTGCCATGGGAATGGATGTGCAAATTCTTGGGAATATTCAAGTCATTCTCTACAAGTAGGCGGCACGGGGGAGAATATAAGCATATCATCGGATGCTGAGTAAGAGATTGCCATTGCCAAATCCCACTCGATGGCACCTTGTCCTCCACCTGAATTTGTCCCTCAGAAGGCTCCAAGTTGTTTCCTTTTTTATATACACATATATGTATATATATATATTAGTGGATTGATGGATTGATATGCGGATATACTCATCCGATGATCAGTTAATATTTCTATCAATAATCACATATATAAACATGAGATGTGTAATTATATGTATATATGCATAACTAGGCTTTTATATTCTTTGTTCATATTATTGATCTGCCTATATTATATACATCAGTTGAAGACTTCCAACATCGGTCACTCCAGGATGCCAAGGTTCACACCATGTGCGCTCCTAAGGTAATATCCCATCACCGTTGCCGATCGCGTAACTCGATCAATGTCGTGTATGGCGATTATTGGACTCGGATATATGCTGATGCTCATGCTGTCCGACTTCTGGTACAAATTATGCTTAAATCCATATAAAGGTTGGGACTGAACTATTAAGCTTTACTTGATAATGATCATCAACCTAGTTAGCGAGATATTCATCTCACATGCTCCAAAATTAGAGCGTAAAGACAGAATGGGCAGCAATACTCAATGATCCTTATCCACTCACAATTGTGGTTCTTCGTCAGTTTGACCCATACCTACCTTGACTATACTGAGCAATGAAACCCAACGACATTTCTTCCTTAAAAGCAAAACACACTTTTCCGTATCCTTTCGAAAATCACTAATCCGGTTTCTCTATACATATCATTTTCATTTTTTAATGTTTCCAAAAACATGCGTCATAAAAAACAACACCCTAACTTGCTGCCCAGCTTTCTCACTTTGCCCTTTCTTCTAAGCTCCCAGCTCAGATCCACCAACGGAAATCAGCAAGGCGTCAGTGAAGAATGCCACTTCATGGCTCCGCGAAGTTGCGCGCAAGTCAACGGGATCCGCTCCCGAATCAGGTCAACGCCGACCAGAGGAAGTACACTTTGGGCTTTGAAAAAATGTGGTTTTTGCTACTACGAATAAACTTTTTACCAACAAAGACTCGGGGACTGAACGGCAAACATGTATATAGTCTTCCAGCAAAACATTCTGCTAAATTCAATGTATCATGCTTACTTTCCCATATATCATCCTTACTTTCCTCGAGGTTTTGCTTCTGTATATTAATTACTTGCTGGATATGATTATGAGCCTCAAAAATCGGGGCCTTGCTCTGAGATTTCATGAGGCATCCCTTCAACTATTGAGCCTGCTGCCCGGCTGCTGCCTGGGTTGAACCAAATTTCGGCAAGGCCGGGATGGAAGTGCAGCTAGATGGACCATCCTGCAGTTTACCGCCCCCCGCTCGCCGCCCCAAGCTACCCTGCCTGGGGTCGGCGGCAGGGGGCGTAGCCCCTTAATCCGGCCAGGGGCCCCCTGGCCGTGGCATAGCCGAAGGCGGTTCTCTCCTCTCCGTAGGAGAGAGGGGCCGCCGCCCCAGCCGCCGACCAACCCGGCCGCCAAAAACCCCCGCGTTTTACGGTGTTTTGTGCTCTCCTCGTTTTTGGCCCTTTTTCGGCTCCTGTGGTTTAAGATGTGTCAACATGGGCCAACATAGGCCTCAAGATGGGCCAACATAGGCCTCAAGATGGGCCAACATAGCCCCAAGATGGGCCAACATAGCCCCAAGATGGGCCAACATAGCCCCAAGATGGGCCCACATTGCCCTCCAGATAGGCCAACATAGCCCCAAGATGGGCCAACATAGCCCCAAGATAGGCCACCGACCATCAAAATATCCTGCGTTTTACAGGCGTTTTTGCTGTTCCCATTTTTCGGATCTTTTGGCTCCACGTGGGTCAACATGAGGCCAACATAGGGCTCAAGATGGGCCAACATAGCCCCAACATGGGGCAACATAGCCCCAAGATCGGCCAACATAGCCCCCAAGATGGGCCAACATAGTTGGGCCCCTGGCCGGCTGTCGCGCGTAAGCGCTTAAATTCGGCTCCGCCGGCTCCCCACGAGTGGCTTGCCCTACGAGCGTCCCAGAGCGACTAGAGCTCTATGGTGAGGCGCACCCCAAGCCGCCGACCCTCCGACGCCGGGCCCCGAAAAACACCAAAAATCATTCAGGAGGGTGGGGGAGAGCTTTTTGGCCGGAATCCGGGTCGCTCATAAGCGTCTCCAAGAGCAAAAGGCCCCCCCCCCCGTTTGGAGGGTACCTAAAATCGGAAAAAAATACCGTTTTGACACGTAAATTACAGCATTTTTGCGTTTTAACGTCTTTTGCGGGAGCCATGCAAAAACGCAGAAAATGTTGTAAATACCCATACTTTTTGGACCCAAGATGCACAAAATACCGCAAATACCAGTGTTTTTGAAAGCCAAGCAAAAAAACACTGTAAATTACAGCATTTTTGGCGGGTTGATCGCAAAAAATGCTGGTATTCACAATGTTTTTGCAATGTCAAGAAAACGTGGGAGGCACGAAACACTGTCCATAGCGGTGTTTTGGCCACTTCTGGACGCCGGAACGCTAGTATTTACGCAGTTTTTTGCCCGTAGCGGCGCCAAACCCCTGTAAATTACAGCATTTTCTTCCGTTTTTGAACCGATTTTTTGCCTTGATGAACGCAAAAAACGCTGGTTTTTCAAAAAATCGAAGATCGTGACGTGAACGAAACCCTGCAAATAACAGTGTTTTAGCCACTTTCGGGGACTAAAACTGTGGTATTTACGCGGGTTCTTGCCATCTGACAGCGCAAAATGCTGTAAATTACAGCACTTGGTGCGCTGTTTATGTTCAATTTTTTAACCTGCGATGCTTTTACCTGTTCTTTGCATTCTTCCACAAGAAACAATGTTGCAGATTGAAACTGGACGACCGCGTGACCCGAAAGAAAGCTGGATGGAGGAGTCGCACAGAAGCTTTTACACATACAGGGGCTTTTACACAGAGAAGTCTTTACACAAAGGAGCTTTTTACATACAGAAGGTTTTACACAGAGAAGTCTTTACTCTAAGGTGCTTTTGCAGACAAACGTCTAGGAGCTTTAACTCACAGAAGTTTTTAAACGAAGAAGTCTTTACACAGAGGGCTTTTTACACACAGACGCGTTTGCACACAGAAGCTTTTACACAGAGAAGCCTTTACACAGAGGAGCGTTTACACACCAAAGCGTTTACACACAGCAAGCTTTTACACACGCAGGGGCTTTTACACAGAGAAGTCCTTACACAAAGGAGCTTTTTACACACAGAAGGTTTTACACAGAGAAGTCTTTACTCTAAGGAGCTTTTGCACACAAACGTCTAGGAGCTTTTTCACACAGAACTTTTTACACGAAAAAGGCCTGACAGAGAGTTTTTACACACAGACGCGTTTGCACATAGAAGCTTTTACACAGAGAAGCCTTTACACAGAGGAGCTTTTACACACAAAAGCATTTGCACACAGCACTCTTTTACACACACAGGGGCTTTTACACAGAGAAGCCTTTACACAAAGGAGCTTTTTACACACAGAAGGTTTTACACAGAGAAGTCTTTACTCTAAGGAGCTTTTGCACACAAACGTCTAGGAGCTTTTTCACACAGAACTTTTTACACGAAGAAGGCCTGACAGAGAGAGTTTTTACACACAGACGCGTTTGCACACAGAAGCTTTTACACAGAGAAGCCTTCACACAGAGGAGCTTTTACACACAAAAGCATTTACACACCGCAAGCTTTTACAC